AAAAAAAAAAAAAAAAAAAAAAAACCCATAAATTCTGCTGGTTGGCATGTAGAGGAAAAAAAGCACTCTCACACCCTGCTGGGTAGAAACGTCAAGAATTCCAGTCTTTCAGAAGTCAATATGGAACTGCCTAAAGTCTGTATTTATCTTTTGACCTAGCAATACCACTACAAAAAGTTAAATGAAGAGGGAGCCAGTTGCCTTAGGTGCTAAGGACAAGAAGTCTCCTAGAGGAAAGCACATGCCTGAATCTATGGAATGCACGTGCTGGGGTCTGCTTTTAACCACCTCCCATATTCATCCTGTGTGTTACAATTTCCTTCACATAGCCAATAACAGAAGAAAATGTGCTCACTTGTTAAACATATGCATATCCAATTTGCTGGACAATTTTCACATATATAAACTGATAAATTGGTGTATACATCATTGTGCTTGGAAAACTGGTTAGCAAGAAGTATCTTTTAGTTTTTTTTTTTTTTTAAGTATAATAATAAAATAAGTTTTTAGCCTATAAGGCAGAGAACAAGACCTAGAGGGAAAAAAGGTCTATAGCCACTTATGGGAACCTGATAGGAAAGTTATCATGTTTTTGCCAAAAATACAAGCCCTGCCTCTTCCAGCTACAGTGACTTTATTAAAACATTCTTTGGAAGTATGAAAAGGTTGAAGTAAGAGTTTGGAATAATATATTGTTAAAGTTCACAAAGAAAGGAAGTGAAAGATCTTTACAAGGAGAAATACAAAATTCTGATGAAATAAACTGTAGAAAACACAAACAAATGGAGAAACACCCCACGCTCATGGATTGGAAGAATCAACACTGTTAAAATGACCATGTTACCTAAAGTAATCTAAAGAATCAATGTAATCCCTATCAAACTATCAATGTCATTTTTCACAGAATTAGAAAAAAACAACCCTAAAATTCATATGGAAAAAAGAGCCAGAATAGCCAAAGCAATCCTAAGCAAAAACAAGAAAGCTGGAGACATCACATTACCTTCAAATTATACTAGAAAGCAGCATAGTACTGGTATAAAAGCAGACATGTGGACCAGTGGAACACAATACAGAAGCAGACATGTGGACCAGTGGAACAGAATAGAGAATCCAGAAATAAACTCCAATACCTACAACCAACTGATCTGTGACAAAGCAGACAAAAACATATATTGGGGAAAGGACACCCTAATCAACAAATGGTGCAGGAAAAAATGGATAGCTACATGCAGAAAATTGAAACTTGATCCCTATCTCTTCCCAAATGCAAAAATTAACTTAAAATGGATTAAAGACTTAAATGTTAGACCTGAAACCATAAAAATCCTAGAAGGTGGCCAGGCACAGTGGCTCAAGCCTGTAATACCAAAAAATAACTCAGAGAGTCAGGGTTTGGCCAATCAGAAATTAGGCTTTAAATGTCCAGTTTCAAAATAACATGTAATTAATTGTAGGCAGAGGCTGGAAAGATTACATATGACTGGTTGTCCTAAATAGACATTTGTGCCTCTGCAAATGTTCCACCCTTTAATATGTATTATAAGTACCTGCTGTGACTGAACGTCTGTGGCTATGAGCATTTTTGAGTTAACCCTTTGCACTCGGAGACATCTCGTGGATCACCTACCAGCAACTTGACAGCACTTTTTAATGAAATAGTGAAAAACGAATCACTTTATATTAAATACTATAGTGTTGAAATCAATTATTTTATTGTAATGATATTTAGCTTGTAATGAAATTTTGGACATGGAGGAACTAAATTATGATTAAAAAAATCAAAATTTTATAGCTTATATCTTCCTAATGTGTGAAACAATTACATGCATTACAGATTTATTGATACATGTTGTGCAACAGTAATTTGATGTCTTACACCTAGTGTTTTTCTATTTGAGCAGACGGTGCAGTCTCGTTTTCTACCTTCCACGTTAATAATATGTAATTTATTTCCAGTCTGTGCACCACTGTGAAAACACTTCACACATTCTCATTCTACATAATGTCATATATTTTTTTGTAGATCCCAATATGTATTCCAGTTCTTAATTTGCTTTTTCATGCATTTTTAATGGAAAACTTCAAGGAAAAAAACATTTTTGAAAAATTTCCACTGGCATAAGTTTCTCTTGTGTAATCACCAGCAAGCTCTTTATGTCCTGAGAAAGGCCATCCAAGTGCAAAGGGTTAAGTTTGTTTATGTCAAAACTGCTTAATTCTACAAAAGGATCCCACAATATTCAAACCCATTGGTTCCTGCATTCCAGAGTTTGAACAGCTGCAGGGAACCGGTTACCTGAATCCCCTGACATGTTTAAAATAGCAAGTAGAAAAAATTTAGATATTGAGAGATTGATCTAAACATGTACTCTTATGAATTCAGTTTGAGGTCAGAAAATGAGCATTTGGATAGAAAAAAATAAAGCAATTGTGGAATAACTACACAGGATTTTTTCGGTAATAATCTAAAACGTTTGATGACCTCCATAAATACAACATACAGCTGAAAAAGACAAGCATGTCAAGATATGAATTCTGTGGAGAAACAAATACTTGATAGTACCTTCAAGCCATTTCTACTAAGATAAATTATGCAGTTGAATGGATGCAAAATCAGATGTGTCTAATGTCTAATTATATGATACCCCTTTTTCTTTTGCCAAAAAAATTGTTAAGATTTCGGTGGCAGAGTTTAAGGGTCAACAATAAAGAATACAGCTATTAAATTAAAAACTCAAAACACACATTTAAAGGCTAAATTAGGGCAGAGTGTGGTAGCTTAACCCTGTAATCCTAGCACGTTGGAAGGCTGAGATAGGAGAATGAGAATCACTTGAGTTCTAGAGCTCAAGGCTGCAATGAGCCATGATGGTGTCATTACAATACAGCCTGGTGTCAGAGTGAGACTATCTCTTAAAAAAAAAGGCTAGCCAGACATGGTGGCTCATTTCTATATTCCCAGCACTTTGGGAGGCTGAGGTGAGAGGATTGCCTGAGCCCATGGGTTGCCTGGGCAACTTGGCAAGACCTCAACTCTACAACAAACCAAAAAATAAAATAAAATAAAAAGAATTAACTAGGCATGGGGGTGTGCACCTGTAGTTCCAGTTACTTGCAAGGCTGTGGTGGAAGGATTACCTAAGCCCAGCAGATCGAGGCTGTGGAGGCCGTGAACGTGCCACTGCACTCCAGCCTGGGTGACAAGGTAAGACTCCAACTCAAAAAAAAAAAAGGCTACGTGATAAAGTGTGGCTTTTAAAAGTACAACAAAAACAAAACAGAGTGCTTTTCTCTAACTCTTCACAGATCACAAATACTCTCAACTCCTATTCTTGCAAGGTGTTGAGACAGGCATGAGAGGAGGACAGCACTATGAGTCACCACATAAATTCTTGTAAAACAAAGTGGGTGGATGTAGGTAGAAATCATTTCTGGAAAGTGAAGCAGAGTACGTGTTGCAGGGAGAAGTAGACACAAGCATAAAATGCAGTTCGTGCATTAACCTGTTGGCTGGGGGTTTCTTACGCCTACAAGAATCACCATGGGAAGAATCTATTTATTAAATTAAAAAAACTTACCTTGTTCTTTACCGGGTCAATATTCTTTCCAGGTGTGACAGAAATAATTCTCACAGGGTTCTCTTCATTTTCACTACCCCCAGTTTCTGCTGCCTCTGAACTCTGTTCCCTGTTGAAGAGAAAGAAATCATGGCTTCTTATTTCACCACATGAATACAAAGTTTACTCCTCACTATAGCCATAAGGAAAGGCTTAGACTGGTTTAGAAACACCACCAAGCAAAGCAACGACAGCAGGATTCACATCTTCTGTGGTTACAAACTAAAGCTTGATGATGTCATGATAATGATTTCCATTTAACAATAATAACAAGACAGAAAGGACTGCCTAAAACTCCTGACAAAATGATTGTCAAGAAACAAAATAACACAACTACTATAAACGCTGTCTCCTGGAAGCAGAAAACGCCAGAACAAAAATAAAACTATGGACCACAGCACAGTCTACTCTAAAAGGGGGCTGCAAGGCAGGACACTGGGAAGGATTTGAGCCTCCACCCACTGAACCACATCTGTTCCCTTATGAATGTTATTTTATGTTTTGGGATTCTTCTGCTAAAAATGGTTTACAACATCACTGGATGAGTGTTTCTTTAAGATCTCATCTGTAAGGATACAATCTTTAAAAGTCTCAATATTTAGTGCTCATAAGAGCAGGGTGAGAAATGATAAATGTTTGAGGTGATGGATACCCCAGTGACTCTGAATGGATCCGTACACATGGCATACATGTCTCAAAATATCACATGTACCCCATACATATGTACAAGTATTATATATCAATAAAAATATTATGTTTAGCTGGGCTCGGTGGCTCAGCCTGTAATCCCGTGCCTTTGGGAAGCTGAGGTGAGTGGATTGCCTGAGCCCGCGGGTTCGAGACCCGCCTGGGCAGTGAGACTTCATCTCTACAATAAATCCAAAAAATCAGCCGGGCGTGGTAGCACATGCCTGTAATTCCAGCTACTTGGAAGGCTGAGGCGGAAGGATCGCCGGAGCCCAGCAGGTCGAGGCTGTGGTGGCTGGGAGCGGCCACTGCACTCCAGTCTGGGTGACAGAGTGAGACTCCAACTCAAAAAAAAAAGAAAAAGTTTATGTAAAAGAAAAAGTAGAGACAAGTGGGAATTCTTATACAGTGGCCAATGGAGTAAATGCCTAATATGTTAAAATTAGCAGGAAATATTTCTACAAGTGGAAATTACTAGAACAATGTTGTCTTAACTCACCCTCTCCTAACTTAAGTCAAAATTAAAAAGCAATCAATTCATTGGCGTTATATTTTCATAGTTTTCCTAAGTGATGAATTTTCTTATACATAAAAACACAAAGAATAGTGGAGTCCTCTTTTAAATAAATTCTGCATTACTATCCCTTTTTATGGGGAGAAGATCGAGGTCTCACTCTGTTGTCCAAGGCTGGAGTGCAGTGATACCATCACAACTTACTGCAGCCTCTACCTCCTGGGCTCAGGCGATCCTCCCACCTCAGCCCCCTGAGTGAGCTGGGACTACAGATGCACACAACCATAGATGACTAATTTTTTACTTTTTGGAGAGATGAGGTCTCACTATGTTGATCAGTCTAGTCTGGAACTGCTGGGTTCAAGCAGACCTTCCACCACAATCTCCCAAAATGCTGGAAATACAGGTGTGAGCCACTGCATCTGTCTGCAATATGGTTTCAAAATGTATAATATTTTATACCAAAACATCTCTAAAGGTAGAAGTCTATTTTATGATACAGTGCTTTATAAGTTAAAAGAACCAAGGAGTGAGTGCTAGTAACAAAAACAATTGAAGGAAAAATTGCCTTGATCGATTTCCGGTTGAAGGGTTCAATTCTGAATTTACATTAATATTGCTTCCAGTCTCCGTGCCAGTGCTTCTAACATAAGGTTTTCTTCCCGTTGCTGATAAAGGTTTGTTTACTGCACCCAATACTCCAGCAGGCTTTGGCTAAAAATGACACACACCAATGTTATTCTACACCTTACTGAAAGGAATACCTGTCAATTTAGACACATGTAAGAGATATTGTTTAGCCTAAACCAAGGGATTGATGTCACCTTGGACAGTTAAACACTAAAAGTATTAGAAATGGTAATTATGTAAAACTGTGTTTGGCTGTCTTAATACAATTAGAGTCATAAACATACATACATACAAACTTGGGCAATATTTGCTAACCTTTATTATCCAATCAAAATAAACAATGTTTCTAAATCACAGTGAAGTATATAACATGCCCTATAAACAAACTAATGAATATGCATAGAAATAGTTTAGGAACTGTTTACCAAAAACTACATTTCCTTTTACTCTTTTAGGTGTCATCACAGAATTTTTTTTATAGAACAGACTGTCAAACTTATTAGTACTTTAAAATCATTTTTCTTTATCTTACACATGTGAGTTTATCACACAATTTCAAAAGAAAATCCGCTCTGTGGACTGTAAAATTGTTTTTTTTTTTGAGTCAGAGTCTCACTCTGTCGCTCAGGCTGAAGTGCAGTGGCATGCTCACAGCCACCGCGGCCTAAACCTGCTAGGCTTAGGTGATACTTCTGCTTCAGTCTTCCAAGTACTGGAACTACAGGTGCTTGCCACTATGCCTGGCTAATTTTTTGATTTATTGTAGAGACTAGGTCTCACCAAGATGCCCAGTGAGCCACCACTTCCAGCCTTGTAAACTATAAATTAATGGAAGCTTACCCTAACTAATGAGAACACACAGTGGTAATTCAGAAGAGTGGTACAATGGCAGAAAAAAGTCAGCACACAGCTGCTTTAGATGCTACAACTCTATAATGTGATCTTTAAAAACCTGGAACTATAAAATTCAGGGGACATTTAAAGACATTTCTAAGGAATAGCAGAAGTAATACACATAAGAAATAAAGGTCCCCATATTATCAAGTACATAATACCTTTCCTGTTAACAGAAGCACTCTTGTCTCTTCTGAAATATAATTCTTGTCATTACAGAAGTCCTATAAAAAAAAGAGATATCAAAGTGAATATGCATAATTTTGCTGTACCTAAAAGACTTGTTAAACTTTGTGCCTTGCAATAATCACAACTGTGCTAACATATCTACTGTCATCAAATAATCTAAAAACATTTAATGAACCATATATCATAAAGTCTAGCTTTAAATTAGATTTGTGGCACTGAAGAGTTAAGCAAATATCAGAGGTAAATTTCCTAAATCTCACTGTAAATAAAGCACATTCCTAATTTTTCATATGGGTCAGTGCCAACAGTCTTCAGTTTATTCATTAAATTATCTTCGCCCCTCCACTTTATCATCAAATATACAAATATTGGGATCTCAAAGCATCCAATGTGGTACTATGCACATACTTGGCATTTAATATTCAGTGAAGGAATACCATCCTTAATCTCAATAAATTATCCTCATTGAAAAAAATCTATAACCTTAACTAATAGTATTACGTTTCTGGTTGGGCATGGTGGCTCATATCTGTAATCCCAACACTTTGGGAGACAGAGGCAAGAGGACTGCATTAAGTCCAGGGGCACGAGGCCAGCCTAGGCAACTTGGCAAGACCTCATCTCTACAGTAAATTTTAAAAACTGCCAGATGTGGTGGTGCATGCCTGTGGTTCCAGCTACTTGGAAGGCTGAGGCAGAAGAATCGCCTGAGTTCAGCAGATTGAGACTGCATTAGCTGTGAGCGTGCCACTGCACTACAGCCTGGACAATGGAGTGAGACTCCTACTCAAAAAAAGGAAAAGAAATGAGAAAAGTAGTCATGTATTGAAAACAGAAAAGCCTAAGTTATTATTATTATTTTGAGTCCGACTCACTCTGTCACCCAGGCTACAGTGCAGTGGCACACTGCTCGTGCAGTGGCACAACAGCCTCAACCTGCTGGGCTCAGGTGATCCTTCCACCTCAGCCTTCCAAGAAGCATGAAATATAGGCATGTGCCACCACGCCCAGCTAATTTTTGATTTATTGTAGAGATAGGTCTCACCATGTTGCCCAGGCTGGTCTCGAACCCAAGGGCTTAATCGTCTTGCTTCCACCTCCCAAAGTGCTGGGATTACAAGCATAAGTGACTGTGTCTAGCTTCCTAAATTAATATTAAAAAGACTAAAACAGCTGGGTGCGGAGGCGGAGGAGAGAGGACTGCCTGAGTTCAGGAGTTCGAAACCAGCCTGTCAATTTGGTTAGATTTCGTTTCTACAATAAATCAAGAAATTAGCTGGGCATGATGACGTATGCCTGTAATTCCAGCTACTTGGAAGGCTGAGATGGAAGGACTGCCTGAGCCAAGCAGGTCGAGGCTGTCGTGTCCATATGTGTGCCACTGAACTCCAGCCTAGGCTACAGAGTGAGACTCCAACTCAAGAAAAAAAAAAAAAAAAGTCTAAAACACTATACACTGAAGATATCAACAGAAAAATCACCAAAAAAAGAGAGAGAGAGAAGTTCTTTGTGAGATCATGTATGTGTAGTGGTAAATAGCAATTTAGTTCTGGATGATTGGATCACCACTGTTATGAAGATTCTATTTGGATATAAGTCCAGTCATGATGGCCATGGGTTAACAAGCATATATTTAAATTCAAGAGCTCACTTACGAATATTTTTGGAGGCCAAACGATTCAAATACAGGGCAAATACTTTTGTAACTATTATTTCTATAAAAAGCAAGGCACAGTAAATATTAAAAACTAAATTATTAAAAAAATCAGATTAAATCTTAGTAAAGTATGACATGCCAAATAGAAAGCTCCATTTCCTAGAATGGAAAGTTCTTTTGCAAAATAGTCTAATGGGGTCATTACTGAGGCACATCTATAGGTCTGAAAATATGTAAAAATATTTTACATGCTATAATTTATCTAATTTAAAATAATAGAGTTTCTTTTTTTGTTTTTGGGTGTGTAGAAGCAGAATTTATTGAGAGGACACAAAAGCTCTCATAGTGGGAGGGGATCCAAAGGGATTGTCCAAGTTTCTGTTTTTTTAAACAAACACAAGAGAAAGTTAAACTTCAAAAGACCACTTAAAAACAGAAATTTAAAAAAATTCTTTAAAATCCAAGTTAGATGGAAAAACTTCCAGAACATGGACTACCTGGAAAATTTATTTATGAGGAAAAATTAACTCACTGATAGAATAAATGTACTATGTGCATAAATTAATAATACCATATACTGAGTATGATGAACTCTCTGTATAAACCTAGATATCAGTAACTGTCCATGTGTATTAGTACAAGCTGCATTATTAAGATGAAGAAATGAGGCTTAGAAGAAATAGCTTGTCCCTCAAGTTAGAAGTGGTTGATTAGAATCACTAGCCAAGGCCAGTTTCATGAACCCAAACATCTTATTTCATTTACAGATATTTATATTTACACTCTACCAAATATTTAAAAAATTTTTTTTTTTTTGAGTTGGAGTCTCACTCTGTCGCCCAGACTGGAGTGCA